TTGTTGTGATGATCCTTTTGATATTTATACAAACTCGCAGACTTATATTGATGATACTGTTGTCGCAACAAGGAGTTTCAATAGACACGTACAAATCCTTCAAATTATTTTCCAAAAATTGCTTCAAAGTAATTTTACGGTTAGAATTGATAAAACTGAATTGTTTTAAACTGAAATATTGTTTTTGGGGTTTCGTTTGTATACAAAAGGCATAGAGCCGAGTCTTGAAAGAGTAAGGGAGATAGTTGACTTTGAGCCGCCCGAAAACCAAAATCAATTACAATCTTTCTTTGGTATGTGTAACTACTATAGAAGATTTATAATAGCACATAATTCATATATTACACCTTTTCGCGATTTATTAAAAAAAGACTCATTATGGATTTGGACTGATAAGCATACGGAAAATTTTGAGAAGTTAAAAAAGAACTTTTTGAATGCAGTGTGTTTGAATCACATAAATCCTAATGCTAAGTTGAAGGTACAATGCGACGGAAGTTTGATGGGAATAGGCGGTATTTTGTATCAGTTAGATGAGAATGAAAGTCACTGTATTGTGTCCATAGCCAGTCGTTGTCTCACATCTGAGGAATCGCGATATACGACGACTGAGATCGAGTTGCTCGCAATTGTGTATTCGGTGACAAAATTTAGATGTTACCTGATTGGGACTAGATTTGATATAGTTACGGATCATAAAGGCTTAATTTTTATGTTATCCACTGTTTATCATAACTCTCGCTTAATCAGGTGGACTCTTTTGTTGCAGCAATATATGTTTGACATTAAGTATTGCAAAGGTGTTGATAATGTCGCGGCAGATTTTATCAGTAGAAATCCAAATGGAAAATTTCGTACACAAATCAGTGATAGGTTGTTTATTAATCTGCTTAATCAATTTACACTGCCATATTTAGAAAATGAGATCTCTCCATTGTTAATATTGTCAATTAACAATCGTGATATCTCATTAAAATCAGTTTTAAAAAACTTGCAAAATGAGCAAAGTACTGATAGGGTTTGTAGAGATATAATAGATAGCTTGAACAAACAAACAAATCAGAAATTGAGTGAGAATTTCCATGTATATGAAAACATACTTTTTCACAGTGAAAATAAAATCAGCAATTTTCGCATAGTCATACCACTGGTTTTGAAACAAGGTTTAATAGAGCATACACATAGGAAGCTTGGTCACCCGGGAGTATTTAAGACGCTTATGTATATGAAGCGATTTTATTACTGGAGGTTTATGCATCGAGATATAAAAAGTTTCGTCTTGTCATGCGATCTCTGTCAGCGAGTTAAGTACCTGTCGGTCGCGATGGAGGGTCCATATAACCTTGTGACTTCTGAATTTCCTTCAGACTTGGTTACCGTGGATTTTTATGGACCCCTCCCTCGCGCCCGGGGGGGAATGGAGTACTTGTTCGTCGTACTTGATGCTTTCTCAAAGCTTGTGAGGCTCTACCCTATGAAAAGAGCAACAACTTTAGCTTCAGTCAATAAAATCATTAAAGAATATATACCGGAATGTGGCAAGCCCAAAAAGATTTTAAGTGATAATGGCACGCAGTTTACCTCAAACCGATGGATAAACCCATTGGAGGAAATAGGCGTGAAAGTACTATTTAGTAGTATTCGCCATCCTCAGTCTAACCCTACAGAGCGCGTCATGCGGGAAATTGGTCGCCTTTTTAGAACTTTTTGTGTGAAAAGGCATACAACATGGATAGACTCGGTTAAAACAATAGAAAATTTACTAAATATTACCACCCATTATAGTACAAACTTTGCTCCCATAGAATTACATTTCGGACAGCATGTTAAGGATGAGATATCTAAGATTGTAAAGTTTCCATCTCCTCAACCAATTGATAAGGCGTTAATGATTACATTAGCAAGAGATAATATTCTGAGAAACTTTCAAAGAAGAAAGAAAAATCAAAGAAATAAAATATCTAAAGTAGTCTTGAACGTAAACGATTTGGTGATGTTGAGAGTCAGGCACTTATCAAATGCGCTTGACAAAGTCACACAAAAATTTTTTCACCTATATGAGGGGCCGTATAGAATCTCGAGAGTTATTGGCGAGAATGCTTTCCTTTTGGTTGATCCAAATGATCCATCAATCGAGAAGGGTACCTTTAATCGCCTCAATCTTCGCAAGTACAAAAATGCTGTGAATCAGAGTTCTTTATGCGTTGCCTTTCCGATTTCCTCGCAAAGTCTTTGCTATACCTTGCTGGACTAACGAATTATATTTTAAGTGAAATGTTTGATTTGTTTTGTGCGTATGAGTATGAGTGAGTTTATCTTGTGAAATGAATGACTGAAATGTAGTATGCTATGAATGTGTATGATGTTAAGTGCATGTATGATGATGAATGTCTTAAAAACAGATAGATTGAAATGTATTATCATGATCGAGATATGATGAATTTGTGAAAATGAGAATTATATTCGAAAACCTATAAAGGGACAAAAGAAGAATGATATGATTAAATATGTATTGCTTTAAGCGATATCACGTGTACACCTATGTAATTACGAGAATATTTATTATATTATGTAAAATTAACTTGCGCTAATTACTCCGGAGTTATTTTTTAAGTCGACTTAGAATAGTATAAATAAGGGTTAACTATGTGGTGTGAAATTTGAGGTGTATTAAAGTAATTATAAGATTTAGCTCTAATGCATCCACTGAAATACGGAGCATTTTGTTCCTGCGATTCGTTCTAAATCTACGGAGCATATGTAACGCATCAATTTGAATTACTCAAATTTTGTGTAAGTAAGTAAGTGGGGAGTCGTTCCATGTACGCGCTCTATTATATAAGCCCCTCTCTAACGCTGCTCGCTCTCCTTTGCTCGGTTGCCACTCAGCGAGAAACACCACAGAAGGCGGGACCTTCTGACTTACAACTATTTGACGACATTCCAACGGCTATCTTCTGCGACAGAATCCGTTCTGGGATCAAGATAATTTCACTGCTTGTGTTGCAAGATATGCTAGTGCAGTTTAGTGATTACCTCCTATATTGGGAATTGTGACGAGACAAGCCAAGTTTCGCTTTTCTTCTCAGTTTTGAGATTACTTGGCAGCTATAAATATTCAATATTCATGTGACGAGATGTGTGGCATAGAAGAACCGAGCATTGCGAGCGAAGAACCATGAGCATCTTAGTGTGAAATAATCTTTTATTATGTATCCGAGTTGACGAACCGTAGTTTGAATGTTAAATATGGAAATGTTTTGATTTTAATCTATACATCTCAGGTCTCACCGGGAGAGTGTGAGCATGTTTCATTTATTGATTTTAACTAAATAAATAGTTTTATAAGTTCTGAGTTAAATTCTAATAAACTTCATTTCTTGTTATTTGGTTCAATCTGATTGCCCGAGTCTTGCTCTACCGACTTAACTATTTTAAGTTAACTAATTTATCTTTTATATCATTTTCTCTTTTATATATATTTATATCAAATAAAATAAATTTACAGCCTCCTCGCGTGACCTTAATTTGGTTGACCTAATAAAGCAGCGCCAACGTTTGAACTCGTTACGGGGTTCAAGAGAGGGAGAGAGAGAGAGTTCAATCAGTGCAGATGTTTTCATTTACGGGAATGATTCACAAACGAAAAAAGAATTCGCAGAATAGAACGCTCCAAATTGCTTGTTACTGCGTTCGTTAGCTGCAAATCATTATTTCTGTTGTTCATCGACAGAAAAAAAATTAAACTTTTAGTTGCGCCTCTGCAACGAATTTTTTAATCTTGATGTATCTTCTACATTAAAATCTAAAATTATTCGGTTTTAAAAGCTCATCTCAAAATTCAGACAGTGAACTGAATCACTATCACTCATTTAGTTTACTGTTGGTTGGACTCTTCAGTAAGGATTCAACAGTATTCCTTGGAAGCCGAGTCACTGCTCATTTCATCTTTATATGAAATGAGCAGTGGCTTGTTATATACTTGATTGCGCAACATCTAGCAGCTAGGCTTCTAAAAAATACTGTCGGATCCTTACTGAGAAATCCAATCAAACAGTAAGGACGAAATACTTTCTAATTTTTTAAGAGTGATAGTGATTCATTTCATTGTCAGAATTTTGGAACTAGCCCGAAAATAACTGAATAAATTTGTAATTTATGATTAAATGACGATCTGCAATATTTTAATTTTTATTTCAATTAAGATTAGCGCCTTAGCTTTTTGCATTTTATAGATACAAGTCTGAAATATATTGAACCGTAAATAACTAAGATTCCATAAATAATGTGAATTATTAGATATGGATAAACTTTTTTTACTGAAAAAACTTTTCGATGAAAATCTTTGCTAAAAATACAAAAAATTAAATTTTTTTACGCTGAGCTTACTGTCAAATTGAAAAGTTATTACTCATTAAAATGGACAAAACCTAAAATACGAACAATAATATTCTAAAGAGAAATCACGTATACAATGCCAATCCTGAATGCTTGCAAGAACGGTAATTATATTAAAATTTTACTCGGCATAATTGTGAAGTAGAAGTGACAGTCTATCCGGGGAACAAGGTGCAAAAATATTTTTATCTTTTCCAACGCGTTTGCTTGCTTGGCTCACGCAACCGGATGAAAATGTGAAGAAAAACACCAGGCGTGAGAGAATTGCAGAAACCTTTTTCCTTCTTTGGTTTTTCAAAGACCGATGCTAGCGTCAACCCCTTTTGTTTGTTTGTCATTAGAAGCTTTTCTTACGTTTCATATTCGTTCACAACGCTAGAAACATCATCTCATATAGCAGTTCCAAAAGCCTGATAACGCTTACACTTTTCCCAATATAAACATTTCATATTTATTTTTTTATTCTATAAATTTTCAAGCTATGAGATTTGTGTTTCATATAAGCAAGTTATCTATATTTTTACGTCGACAATGAATATATATTTTATTAATTTTCACATCACGGTATATCAGCACAAATTTTTTCATTTTCGTTTCTCCAGACTCAAAATTCATCTCTATTACAAACGTAGAAATATTCAGCATCAACCAAACAACAAAAAGCACAACACCATTTCTTTCCAGTCTCCACGCTATGCCAGAGATTTCAGTACGCTTAAAACAAACAAGTGAAATATCCATTCCACTCGACATGAGAACAATCACATCCAACAGTATAAAAAAGAAAAAAAAAGTTACAGGAAAATAGTAAAAAAGCATCGAAAAAAAAAAACACTCCAAACTCCCAGTATTCGCGTAGATTTTTAGACAGTTTAAAATAAAAAAAGAAGTAAAAGCGAAAAATATCACGGCTTGTTTACATAGTTACCAGAGAGCGGATTCCCGTAGGAAGGAAAAGGGTCATGACATACAAGCGCCATCAGTTATATGACGTGAGTCCGAGGATTTTTCACCATTCTGAAAAGTTTGAGCAACGAGGAGCTATTCATTAAGCTGTATACGTCGGGGAAATGCTCGGCAGCAAAGTGTGTGGTGTATGCATACAACCCAACCGACATTCACACGCAAGATACGGAAGTTTCGACAATGCGCACATACACACATATTTCTCTACTATTATTCTTACGTACGTTGGACTTTAAATTTCAAATATTCGTTAGTTTTGAGATTATATATTCTTTTTTATGTAGTAATTTCATTAGTTCGTAAATACAATAGATAATATAGTACAGTGAAAATTAAATATGGATTCAAATATAGATAAGAGTATTTGAACCTTTTTAAATATTATAAATATTGCTTTATTGAGTTTTTTTTTAACGTCCCTCTATTTATACTCCATCAGTACTAATCAGCGACGGAGGCTTGCAATGTGTTTGAGAATAAAGCACATGAAACTTTTTCCAGTGATGCTTGTCAATCAATCAGCAGGGACTGGAAATCGAATCCGGGCCTACCGGAATCAAAATTTTTTCTATTTCAATTAATAAATTAGAAGTAACATTAACATCAGAGGTTATAACTTTGTTTAGTAAATCTATTTTGATATCCAATAATGTGAAAGTTTGTCTTAAATGTACGTTTCTATGCATAAATTAAGCTTACAACGGATAACAATGTCCTAGTCTCGCGATACACAAAAGTCTTGCAAATAATTTGATTTTCTTACGTTTTATCATTTATATTTGAAGATTTTCAGATCGTTGATCATAAATTTGACCTTATTTTCGCAAAATTCAATTGTTCAAGCCATTTGTTTAAACAAATTCAATTGAACATCAAATAACTGATATTCATTGCTTGTATTAATTTAAAAATAACTTACAGTAATTATTGCACGTAAAATCACTATAGCTATATATTAGTCAACAAGATACATTTTATAAAGTGATGTCTCAAAGATCTAAAAAAACCATACTTGTAGGCTCTTGGATAAAAAGTAAGTTCTAAGGTTTAAATCCATCTTAGTTTTTAAGCGATTCGAGCTTGCAACTTAGATTCAAACTAAGCTGGATATTTCAAGCTATTTTGAGGTAAGGGCTAATGAGCATTAACTTATTAAAGACCGTAGACATTATTTTTTTGGACACGTTTATGATTGCAAAATTTATGTGTAAAACAAAACAATAAATAGATCTAAGGTACCGTCCTATATGTCTTTAGGTATGCTGAATACCAATCCAGGCTGAAAATTAAAAAATTTTGCTTGAAAAATTAATTATGGCGGGTTTCTTACAAAAAAATAGTGAAAAATTACATACATTTTTGTTATCAATTTTTTTTAGCATAAAGTGTGTTAATATCTCAATTTTTCTTCAATCATCATTGCACAAAATTGTTGAACTTTAACAGAAAATTTTTATATATAAGTTTTTTTCCAGAATGACAAATAAAATGAAAAATCCTGAAAAAAATTCGTATCTCGTTACCGATATTTTTTTCAAAAAATATGAGGTTTAAGATAAAGTTTTATAAAAGAAAAATGTTTTAAAATTTGATCAAGGAACACTCTCCAAATTTTTTAAAATTTTGGAGAACATTTTTTATTTTTCAGAAAAACACAAAATTGATATTTCTAAAAAAGTTATCAAAAAAATTTGAAAAAGTTCTAGAGTACTCTTTGGCTGATTCTAAAACTTTTTGTTCTTATAAATTTTTTCTCAAAGCCTATAGTTTTTGAGCAAAATATTATCAAACATTGTGCGAATTTTCTTCAACCATTTTAACTATTTGAATTTCACAAAATGTGCGGCATATTACGAATACTTGACAAGTTATTGCAGTACCCATTGTGCACATCAACTTCATCCATAGGCTGATTGTAAAGGTGGAAAGCTTGCGGAACCGGTATATAGATTTTTTCTTTTTTGATCGAACTTTATCTCTTTGCTAATGATAATGGAGTGACCCCTGCAGCTGTAAATATTATTGACATCGGCTTTGAATCCATTACAGTAATGTAATTCATTCCAGATTTTCGCTCATGCTTTACTATATATGTCCCACGTATAGACTTTTTATTGATAACATATCTTTCTTTGACACGATTGTCTTTAACAGTTTCAGTACATTTCAATTTTAATCGTTTTAAATGCGCAACAAGATCTAAATTTGTAAAATAATTATTTTCAAAATAAAGATAATAAAGAAGAATTTTTGCATCAGATGGCAATTCAAAAAAATGTTTTAATAAATGTAAAACTACGCGAGATCCTAATGCACATTTAGATGACTTATCTCCTATTATAGAGTTTTTTCCACAGTGTAAGTCAAAATTAAATAAATATCCATCAGCAGTACACAATCCCCAAAATTTAAGGCCGAATCGCATAGGTTTTTCACGTATAAACTGTTTCAAGCACATCATACGATTTAGCCATTATTTCATCCATTGATAAAACTGATCTACAATAGTCAAACTTCAAAATATTCTTTTTAAACAGTTGCAATAAAATACGAACTCGCCAAGCCTTATCATTTGAATCTTTATCTTTGGTCTTCGGGTATTTCAATTTGGACTTTATCAATTCAAACTTAGATCGTGACATTACCGAAGAAATTTTTTCACAAAATAAAAAAGGGTCAGTTGACCAATAATCTCTCTGAGATTTTCTTTCATTGAATGAGGTTATTATAACGATTCCAATGAATGTATTCATATCGACTAATCATAAATCAAAACCATTTTCCTTACGTACATCGATGATATACTTTTTTATTTCACTTGAAAAAAATGTTCAAACAGTTCTATTGGTTCATATTTTCCTTTGTAGATCTAGGCAATAATACTTTATCTTCAACTATATCAGAATATATCCTTTTATCATTTACTCATTCAAATTTATGATCTTTTGCGATCAAAAACATATCCGAAAATGACGTCTATGGACGTTAATAGGTTAATTGAGATTTATCAGTATGGACAGCTACGCTCGCTAATCGATTCGCCGCGTTTCAATTTTATTTTATATTTCATTCATTTCATATTTAAATTTATAATTTTTGAAACTCCACACTTCATCAATGATCGCATTCCTTATATGATTATTCTTAAATTCTAACTTATATTTATATTACAAGCTTCACACGCAGAACCGAACGCATAATTGTTGGTGTCGAAAATACTACTTAATCTCGGAAACCAAAGCAGCTGAAGAACAAAACATTTCCAAAGATCATTCTTTTTTTTTTCAAAATCGCCAATATGAAGGTTTCCAGAATATGAAATATTGCTACGTTTGCTACCGTGATTCCGGTAGTTTGGATTCAACTTTAAACTGTAAGTCTAGTCATGATACGCGTAAAACTTTCCTTCTCATGCTATTCTAAAAATGGTAGGGAAGGTAAGTCTACATGCTAATGACTATAGGGAACCAGAACTAATGCGTAGAGGAACCTATTGTAGCTCTGCAGCATTCCACATAAACGTAATTCTTGAACTAATAATAATAACAATAACAACAATAACAAAGCTTCCTCTTCAATGAAGCAAAACGTTTTAATTCTTTTGTTAAATAAATAGCATACAAAATAATTATGGTGAAGAGTTCAAAATCGATTTTTGTATTTTATCCTTTAATTAATAAGTATAGTTCATTTTCAATATATTTCGTATCCGTAAGAATGATATATTATTTTATATCATAAAACAATCATTAAGCTACGTTTGATTAAACTCATTATATATACGACTTTGAATACACAAAATACAGCCTGAAAAGCGAATTCTCATTTATCTTTATTTGCTCGACGTCTAAAGCGTTGCCAAGCTGTATCAGTTTATCTCATTTTCCAAATCGCGAAATTTTTTTCTTTTTCGCGCGAAAGTTCAACGTTTTCGTTCCATTTATTGCGTATTCTCCCTCGAGGATTAAAGAGACTACGCCGCGCACGATTACTTTTCTCGCTTCCTCTCTCTCGCAGATGCTCACGTCTATTTCGCATCGCACTTTGCAAAGCGGAAAAATCGTCACACACTTTTTCTATTCCATGGTCTTATTTGCTGGAGTTTTTCCAGGAATGTCAATACTTTTATTTGGCGAGTGAAGCAACCAAATTTCTTTAAAATTTTTAAAAATATAACTACCAACACTTTGTGATAATGAAGAAAATCATGAAATAAGCTTATTTCATGTCAAAGCTCAAAAATATTGACCACCTAAGTCATTAGTGTACAGCTATGTGATAAGTTCAAGTGGAATATTTCAATCGGACAATTTTACATACTATTTGAGCGAACAATTGGCCAATAAAATGAAAGAGCTGCTAGGACCAACTGACGTTAGTAGTCGTAAAGGTATTTTTAGCCGAGAGAGAGAGAGAGAGAGAGAGAGAAGTGCACAGGAACATTATTGCTCATGCGAATTACTTTAGAGAATGGATACTGACATTTCTATAATTTCATTTTTTTATACCCTCTGACATTCTATCAAATACTAACCGCTCTTTTTACGCAGTAACTTACGTTGTATATTGTTGAGGGTCAACGTATCTTGAAATACTCAACTATAGGTCAAATCGACATGTTTATTTTTAATTTTAACCATTAATAACACTAATATTACAATTTCTGAAAGATATAATAAAATACATCAAACATAAAGATATATTGACAAATAAAAACCAGTTGAACTTTTGCGAAAGTCAATATTTATTAAGGGTAGAAAAGCTAAAAGAGTGAATTTAAGTTGCTAATTAAGAATAAATAACTTTCTCACCATAGAATCATAAAAGCAAAGTTTACCATTCGGTGTAATTTCTTTTCCAAAACAGTGTTAGCTTGCAATCCAATAACTCTTAGATGGCATTTGACGCATGGGTAGCCTATAAGCGTTTATTGCAGTCTCGAAATATACTCTGCAATATATTTGATCATCTAGTTTATCTGTTGCCAACAGTCCACGGCCCGAGGCTAAAAGATACTCAAAGGTAAAAAATTTAACCTATCAATTCAACGTATATTTCTTTTTATTTTTTATTTAATCAACTCACTGAGTCTTTTCTCTTTTATAGTGATTTAATCTATTTTCTTACAACATGAAGCAAAATTATTTACTTTGTCCTATAATCGTTTTAGATCTATAGATAAACAATTTTCAAACTCAATCGTAAATGCAACGATTCAGA